TGAAAAAAATTTAAAATCTATATATATATTTGTTACAAAAAGACACATTTGGTAATATTATAAATTTTGTTTTATATTTTCTTTTAACTTATTTTAGCAATACGATTAGCTTATAAAATTTAAAATTTTTAAACCAATATCTGAAATGTCAACTATATCTAATAGTTTAATTTAAACAATAATAATAATAATAAATATGTTTAGAAATATATGTCAAGATGAACAGTTAAATATAATACTTAAACATACCAAATGGCAAAAAATTAGAATTATTTTCAATATGACAAGTTTTCATATATCAAAATAATAGTTTACTCATATAACAATATAATTTAATTGTTTTCTATTAATACTTTTTTTATTATTTGTATTTTTAATGTACTAATCAATATAGTTGCCCATTGTAAAAAAGAAATATCTTACGTTAATTTCTTTTAAATAAGAAATTAAAAATATACATTTTAATCATATTACATTCTTAAAATTTATTTTTAAAGTAAGTTGATGTTTAAAATAAATAAATGAATAAAATTTATGTTTAAAACAATTATTAAATTTTGTTTCTAACATGTTAAAGAATGACTTATATTTAAAGTATTATTTTTTTTATATACTATTTTTTATTATTTATAATTATTTAGTCATTTAATAAAATTAAATTTAAAAATATATTTTATTTTTATTTTTAAAATAATATTATTTTAAAAACAATACATATTTATTGATAATGAAATATAAAAAAAAATTATTATGAAATAATTTTGTCTTAAATTATTTATCAATAAAAAATTGTATTTATAAATGTTTATATGAAAGTAAATATTTTTATTAAATTAATTTTATCTAATAATATTATTTTTAATTTACCAATTAAACGAGCAACACTTATTAAATGTATTTATTCATACAATAATTAAATTAGTCTAACAACATGAAATGAATCTCTTTATACAAATGTAATATAAGTCTATTAATTTATATTAGACAATTATATTCATTCTCTTATTATATATCCATATACTAATTCAACCAGTCAAACAAAATATATCAATTAAAAAATTATAATTATATTCATTCTCAGATTATTTGCATCTTACAATATACATTAATCTGTCATATACTAATTCAACAAATCCGACAAATATATGAATGATTATATAAATTTAAAAATACACAAATATGTCCACACATTACATTGATTTATATTTATAATAAAATATATTGTTCTGTCCTTTTAAAAAATTTACTCTATATTTTCACATATTATATCCTTTGTATGTTACAAAATTTACTTTTTATATTTCTATTTTCTAAACTTATAATAATTTTTCACCTTAATTTTATTCAAAATTTAATTATAAACCTAAATATATTATTATTTTTTCTTCAACATCTAAAAATCTTTTAATGTAATTTATATTTACTAATATATAAAAAACACAAAACACACAAAAACAACAATCCGTGCCTGTGCACGGGTTAAAACCAGCTAACATAAAAAATTAAGATAGTAAACCATAGAATTATGTTTGCATAAATTACAATATTATAATTGATGAAAATTTTAAAATATTGAAAGATAAAATATTTTTAGCCACATGTTGCAAAATGAAGTGACCACTCGTCTTAGAGTGTAGATGTAAATTGCAGCAAGTGCCCAAAGGCTTCTCTTCCCCTAAAATTTTATGTACCAAAGAAATTGAAATTTTAAAGAAAAATGTTTCAACATTACACATCAGAATAAGTAACAATTGTCAACAATCAAAATTTAAGATTTCGCAAGACTGATTTGACATGCCATCTCTTCTCAGTTCTCTTTCTACTTTCTTTTTCTACAATAAAAGAATCAACCATAAGATTACGACAAAAGGAAATTTAAGACCGAAAATGACGATCTATCTCACAAGGTAAAATAACAAAAACAAAAAAGTTCCCCTTTTCCCTTTATCACCTGAAAACATGTTTAAATTCAATCTGTGGTAGTGTTTAACCTAATCGATACATCTCAGGATGAATCAACAATCTCCCAAAAGCATCTTACTCACAAATCACGATCAATTTAGCCAGGTCAAGGATGCCTGTCCAACCACCGGAATGGATAGATTCAATATATTTTCAATGCAGAAAGAAATGGTCCTCACTTGCCAGACAAACAATAAAACCCGTCTTTAAAAACTGCTTATTTAGCCAGGGAAGCTGCCAAAAGAGGGAATCAACATATAAAGTCGGTAAGTGATTATATTCAGATCACTCTATATAGAAATTTAAAACATAAGCTCTGCCTTCAAGGCACTAAAAAACAGTTTTCCAAGGATAATAGTACTATAGTAGTCAGTTAAAGATTCTGGATATTCATTCATATGGTAAAATTCTGGATATTCATTCATATGGTAAAATTCAGAGTCCATTGATAACCTCTAAACCACAAGATTTAACTAAACTTTTCTCTAAAACGGAATACAAGCCATACCTAAACATTATGATTGCTGCACTTGCCGGGATATCTGTAACATCCATTCAGCGTACCCACTGTTACCACCCATCTGGTCCTCAACGAGGTTTGAAAGAAAGAGGAATCCTTCTTTGGGCTGTTCACCTTGCCTCACAAGGTGGCATAACTGGTAATAAGCACGATCTTTATTTCTCAACTTCTCAAGTAACTTCATCAATCTCCTTGACATTTCATTGTCATGCTCACTGAGTGTAGTCTGTTAAAACAAACAAGGCATACACACAGAACCAGATTTTTTTTATTAGATAAATAAGACAAAATAAAATTACTCTACTATGATTTGATGCTATGAATTTGCCATACAAGGAGTTAAGAATAATATCCATAAATATCGATGCAACAAAAAGAAAATATTACAACCGCAACAAATATTACAGCAGAACTGCTACTATTTAAAATGATTTAACCAAAATAACTAAAATAATACATACCATGTACATATAAATGTTAAAAAAAAATACAAAAACAAAGTCCAAATTGATCACATATTTGTATGTTTATAACGATAAAAAGTCAGATCACATTCTTAAGCAAGCATACAAGTAAAAAGCAATAAAATAGACTAGAAATGAATTTGGTTAAGAGATGATAATAAGAAAACAGATTTAAGACTAGAGACAAAAATAGAAAAAGGTCACAAGTCATACTACTTCTATGATTCGTCAACACGTTTCAAACTTTCCTTCAACATGTGGTCTATGTTTTCATCTGTGGGATTCACCAGTGCACAAGAGTAGGTTGAGGAAGGAAGACGGGACTTATTCAAACCAGTTCTAGAGATGACATGGCCATTGCAAGGAGGAAAAGACAGAGGTGATTCAGTATACTGGTCAGATAAGACATAAGTGCAGAACCCATAGAAGGGTAGATAGGTGAGAGAATCATGGCAAACTACTTCGAATTAGGTTTTTATCAATTTTTTTTTTCGTTTTAAAAAGGCTGCCCCAAGAAACCCCAAAAATGTGACAGCGTTGAGGGTAAAATGGGATTTCAAAATGCCTCCCTGTAGTGCCACATACGGCTGCTATTACCGGCATGATTGCAACTGCGGAGACTTTTCAAATACTGCACCGCTTCACATCTATGACTGTGCTACTGTCAATGAGTTTTTCACACCATTTGACCATTGAATTAAGTATTTTATCATGAAGACTATTGCTCATATCATAGCATTTCATACTTATTTTATACTTAATTGAAATCTCATGGCTAACATACAATATGCCTTTTTCTATTGTAACACAAAAATAAGAAAGATAAAATTGGCATATAAGATAAACCACAACAAAACCCTTATTCCATTAGATGAGGTTGGCCACATGGTTCAACTTCATTTGACTACACGCATGCAAGATCAATATGAAAATAACTTATGAGTTAACATTGTACATGCTGGGTGGGCAAGAGAAGGAACATAAAATGATTTTACTTAAATAAGAACCAAAAAAACCAGCACCAATTTGAAATAGGGATTGAAACGATAACTAGCTGCTCAACGTGACAACCTATGATAAATTCTCC